GACTCAGTGGAGAGAGTGCACTGTGGACTCTGCCCTCAAACCAATACGACAACCAAGACACTTCATCGCTTACCCTTGACCCTTATTTCCTTCTCTTTATCTTAAACTTCCCAAACAATCCTATGCTTGTGGGGGTGTTTTGTTTTTTTTGTTTTGTTTTAAGTATGCATGGCCAAGGTCACCTCACCACAGGTGGTGTTAGAATTTACAGCAGCTCTTGTTTTTGTTTTCTCCTACCCACACTGCTGACTTGCATTGTGTCTTTATGACAAAGATGACTGCTTCCCTGAGGAAATGCTAATAGTTAGTTTCTGCCAGTGTGCACTGCGCTGCATCTGCCTCTGCTGCACCAGCTTTGCTGCAGTCTTGGCAAGAGGTTACCCTTATTGCTACAGCAAACTGCTCCAGTGAACGACTCCTACCTGTCTTTTGCTTTTTCGCCACAAGTAGTGTCTCCTTTTAAGGAACTCTTTGTCCATGTGCGGTTAGCTGGGTGTTTGGGGGTCATGGTGACATTTGTGCTCCTTCACCTATTACATAACTGTTGGTATCGAGGGGTACGCATGCTTTCCATTTTTAACCACGTGGCACAATGAAGCTGTGCAGTCATGCTATCAGTCAATAGACGGCACACAGCGTTGAATTTATTGCCCTGTAGTTAATCTTTATTTATTGGTGCTGTTTATGTTTTAAATGAGAAAACAGAGTTCCTCTTGAAGCTTCATTATCCAGATATGACCTCACATAGACTCACACAGGACTGTCTTGGTCTGCATTTGTACAAGATTGTACAACTGCTCAGTTGTCATTTGGGTATTTTGCAATGTGACTTTTTGTGCTGTCCACTAAGGAAGGTAGCGCCTGCTGCCTTGTTTTTTAAAAATGCCTCTCTCTATTTGCCTTTGTGTCTTCTTGTGCGTGGCACCTGACGATCCTTCAGTGCTGGGATTTGACAAGATCCCATGGTGGGGCATCCTGCTCATCTCATTGGGCTGCTCTGTGCTGACCGCCATTGTGGTCTGGTTCATTGTGTGCCCTCGCCTAAAGAAGAAGATTGAACGTAAGTCCCCCTTATGTTTTTGCTTTTTGACAGTCTTGTGACTCAGCTTTCAAATCTCTGTCACCGGTTTCTTTTGACAACTGATATTATGGTTTTCTTACTTAAGCTGTTGGACAATGAGGGATGTAGAACTGCACTTGTAACGTCAACCTTTTCACAGCAAGGCTCATATTAATCCACCAAATGGAGCTCAGGGATTTGTTATCATAATGGAATCGCTCTAATGAAAATCATCAGAAAATTTTGTCACCAGTTTTTGTCGAGTAATCCTGGATTAAAGTACAAAACCAACAGTCCTGCATTTGCACACGCATTGTGTGATTTTCATATCAAAGGGCAACACGATTCATTTTAAACTTTTTGTGTATTTTAGCTTCCTCCAATGTACTCAATACAGTGCTTTTGTGTTCACTGACTCTTGTAATGAGTTTAGTCATGCTTTTTTTTTTTTATTGCTACTGCATCAAAAATCTGTCGGAGCACAGCACTGAATAGCTGTGTCTGACACAACTTTGGCTTTAGGCCACATGGGATTTTCAACAGACCCTTTTTGCTCAACTTCGTAATTGAAAATGTCTTGTTTCTACATGTAGAAGTCTTTATGTAATGTCAGAAAGACAGTTAAAGTATTTTGTTTGACTGACGCTGACTTACCTGTCACTTGTATTACCTTTTGGAAACAGCAGGTTTAACTGAGTAAGCATTATCTGTTGAGATCAGCCTCAATCCAGTGGACAAGCTGACTAATTAGGTCATAGTGATCAACTAATTGGTCTTTGCCTACTTGACTAAAATAAGCCTGGGTTGAAAGGCTAAGGAGTTGACATTTGCAGTGCGTTTGGAGAGCAGGCTGACAGCGCCTTCGTGCTTCTGCTCCAGCCTTGAACTGTTTGGGATGACGCAATGTGGCTAACTGGTCAGAGCGCTCCCAGGATTAGGACAGAAAATATTGGCTTTGAGTATCTAGTACACTTTAAAACCACAAACAAATGTCATGTGAGCCTCGGGTTGTGTTGGGTCTTATTGTCTTTCATAAGTTGAGCTCCTAGCGGTAGTGTAAATACGTCCCTTCTAATCCATTTATCTGATCCTGTGAACCCACCGGCTCATTTTTGAACACAGGTAAAATTACATTTATAGGACAACAGTTCAGACTGAGGTTATGCAATTCTTATGACTCCCAACAGCTTAAGTTAAAAGGAAACACATGCCGTACTAGGATTTCTCTGCTGTACTCTGTATATGTTTGGACATGACCCAAGTAAGTTCTCACTCCAACTCCTCCCCTACTAGGAGATATCAAGTCTTCCAGCCCCTCTGAGAGCCCCCTGATGGAAAAGAGAGAGCTCAGGGAGGCCCACTGCCCAATCCTGAAACAGACTGCCAAGGAGACGTCTACACCTACCACACCAGCAGTCAATCAGAGCGCCTCTGCTCAGCCTCAGGCTGCCCCTGAGGAGCGCAGGGTGGCATTTAACATTGGGGATTCTGACGATGCTGACAACAAGGAACGCAAGGTGGCGTTTGACATTGGAGACTCTGACGACACAGACTGTAGCAATGAAAATGGTGGTAAGTATGCCAAGAGACAACACTGTGTGTATCACTTTCTACTGTAACTCTTCTGCTGCGTTAATCGTGAACACATGAGTCTGATCTGACTGCAAATTTTAATAATTTTTTTCTTGCCTTTTTCTTCAGCCCCCAAACAGGTTCCGTCAAACAATCAGGTCCAACTCAATAATCAGCAAGTCCAGCAGAGCAATGGCTCCACAAATACTCCCAATCAGGTCCAGTTCAACAATCAGGTTCAGTTCAACAACAGGCCAGCACAGATACCAAGTAACGGTTACAGCCAGTACCACACAGTCCACAAGGACTCCGGCCTCTACAAAGACCTACTGCACAAGCTCCACCTGGCCAAGGTTGGTGACTGCATGGGCGAGGGGGGAGACCGACCTATCCGGCGCAACAACAGCTACACCTCCTACACCATGGCCATCATTGGCATGCACGGAGACTTCAAGCATAAAGAGGGAGATTTCCGTGCCAGTGAGGAGGGCGACAAGGGCCCAGGAGCAGGTGGTCAGGACAGAAAGCGGGTCCGTATGGACAGCTACACCAGCTATTGCAATGCCGTGGCAGAGCACACAACTCCTGAAGGTCTGGGAGAGAATGATGTAACACTAGAAATGGGGAAGGAGGATGCAGGTAGCAGCCAAAGCTCTCTAGATGAAGACAGGCTTGATGCAGACAAGCCGGAAGTCTCAACTCTGTTCCAGTTCCTCCAGATTCTCACTGCCTGCTTCGGATCCTTCGCCCATGGAGGAAATGACGTCAGGTAGGTACTCTTTCTATGAAGGCCACGTCATCAGGCTCATGGGACAAAACTTTTGTTCTTCTGCCAGGTTGTTGGTGACATTTCTGCTTATCACAGCTCAGTGTCAATATCTGTGGCCACTGTTGAAATAACCTCCCCCTCCCCTCTGCAGTAATGCCATCGGACCATTGGTTGCCCTGTGGTTGGTTTACCAAACAAGTAGCGTGACTTCAAATGAACCCACGCCTATTTGGCTGCTGCTGTACGGTGGCGTGGGCATCTGCGCTGGACTCTGGGTGTGGGGTCGCCGAGTGATCCAGACTATGGGCAGGGACCTAACCCCCATCACCCCCTCAAGGTACAGACAGTACAGAATGTGCTTCCCCTACTCACTGAAAGCCACATCCTCCTCAGACATTACCAGTCTTTGAATTTAGCAGCCTTACTCAGACATATCCTCCAGAGAGACATGGGTGTTGTTTTTTTCTCTCCCTGCAGTGGTTTTAGCATCGAGCTGGCCTCAGCCGTGACTGTCGTGGTTGCCTCTAACATTGGTCTGCCTGTTTCCACCACCCACTGCAAGGTAAGCTGGTCAAACACTGTGGTCTGGGGACTCGACTCAAATGTGGGGGAAGAGGCCGTTTAGTTTGAAGGAGGCTGCTGTAAACAGTCTGGTAGAAAGCCCAAATGGGGAGCAACTTTTTCCCCCCAATTACATTTTACAGACAGATAATTTGAAGTCACACATCGAAGGAAGAGGATGGGGTTATTCTAACGACTGCTGTGTTTCCAGGTGGGCTCTGTGGTGGCAGTGGGATGGCTGCGCTCAAGGAAGGCGGTGGACTGGCGGCTGTTTAGAAACATCTTCATGGCCTGGTTCGTGACTGTGCCCATCTCTGGTCTGATCAGCGCCGCCATCATGGCCATCTTCATCCACGGCAAGATCCTGTGAGCGTTGGGCTGCACCCCCGAGCAGGGGAGGAGAAAGAAACCGCTCCAGCGAGCGCCAGGAGAAAAGGAGCAAAGTTGGAAGGCCAAAATATATCGCTTACCTCAAGCCAACAACTTTGGAAGAAAAAGGAAAAAAAAAAAAGAAAGAAATGTTTTGAAAGGACTTGTGACATGTGCCTGTGGTTCTTGGCTGCATCACTTTCAACCTAGAATTTGCCGTTTGTTCCATTTGGGTCACATAACTTCCAGTGGGAAGCTTGCATTTCTTTGTTCTGACTTGCTTTTTTCATCATTCTGTAAAGAGTTAATCTAAAATCGACTGATTTGTTTTTTCTAATGCTCATCTTTCCTTTTTTTTTTTTTTTTACTTTGCGATTATGTATATACAACCATGCTGTTTTCATTTTGTTTTACACATTAGACAGAAATGAACAACTAAGATGCAGTATTAGCCTTTAACAGATGTAACTCTCCAGTCATAACACATGCTGAAAGTAATGTAGATGCAAAAGCAGTATTTTTAGGTGAACAGGTTATTGGTGTGTATGTGTGTGTTTCTCCCCCAATTCCAAGAATTCGTTATTGATCATTTTGCATCTGGCTTCCTTTTATCCCCCAAATTGGGACGTTGTTTTTCTTCTGTTAAAGAACAAAATTGTGTTTTTTTTTAAGTTTGGTGAACAAGTTTACTCCCACATTCGACAAAATGATTCCATCACACTAACAGCACTGTAATCTAGTTTACAGTGGTAGAGCTAACTGCACACACTGGACGACCACCTACAGAATGATATGAAAAATACACACTGATTAGTATTAAGAAGTCAGAAAACTTCTTGGCAAGAAATGACAAAGGCCAAATTGTTATCTGCTCTCCAGTTCTTCATCCAAATCTCCCGAGACTTTACATTCTGGGATCAGAAACACCTGTCTGAACATCACTTTGAGAACAGCAGAATGTCAACGAGCACAAACGACGTGCGCTCAAACGAGACCTTATGTCGCCTGTTGAAACTTGATTTCCTGATCATTGGTGATGACATGCTTTAGGCCTGCTTCAGCCTTGTTTTTCTAGTTCACCGTGTACCAGCTACTTCCAGTATGTTTATTTTCTGTGGAATTTGCACCTGCCTCTTCCGCCCTCTGAATATCGTAAAAAAATGAGGAGGAGGAAGAGGAACCTAAAAACTGGAAGGTATCTAAAGGGTGGTTTGGTGTTGAGCTGATCTGCTGTCTGGTTTGAATGAGCGCAGATATACGTTGCATGCCACCAGCGCGTGGTCATTTGGCTGCAGTACTAAATGCATTTCAGACCTATAGATGCTGTAGTTGCCTTAATTGTTTTATTTTCCCTTAGGTACCAAAGAAAAAAGGTTTTTTTTATGCACATCAACATAATCTGCTCCACGTTTGTGGATGAAAAAAATGAAAATAAAAATGGGAAAACACTGAAGTTGAGCTTGTTTTACTGTGTGATCACATCATAAAATAACCACTGCATTATCAGACATGACACAAAAGGAGACACACAGGTTATACAGATAAGTGGGATTGTTCCCTTTTTATTGACGGTAAGCTCGGTGCTGCTCAGGCGCCGGGTGATGAATGAGCTCTGGGATCCGCATGCTGCTGTGCTCGCCCTCACTCCAGCACATCTGTGACGCAGGGACAGACAAAGAGGGATTCCTTTACGCTAGCTTTACATTACAAACACCACAATTCAGTAGTTTTCCAGAGCTCTCCAAGTGAGTATATGAATCACCGCTCCCCTACGGTTTTATATGACTCACTACTCCCGTGCAGGTACTGATGAATGACGACTGCATCGGTGTGCAATTTTACTGCTGCGAAGCACAGAATGAAGCCGTCCGTATCCCCAAAGGCTCAGGATGTACAACCACAGGGTACTGTTTATTTTTTTTGCACCACACTGATTCATTTAATTTCTCGCCACAGTTAAAGTTGACCCTTATCGCTGAAGCTTAGACCAAAGTCATTTCAAAAATCTTTTCAGCATCTTTTAGGGCAGGGACGCTGCATCCTTGGACCTAAAATAACCAGAAGCAGATGATACAGTACAAATCAAGCACAATAAGCACCTGGGGACAGACGTCTCCGAGTGCCCTGGATTCTTGTCCCAGATTTACTCACATATAAGGAGGGACTGTGTTCAAACAAACAATCCCAGCATCTTATTTTCGAGGTCAAGCAGTAAACTCGTGTCTGCGGCGACCTCTTCATAACAACTTTTTCTTTTTTCCTTTTGGATGCATGAATTAAAGTGGTAAAAATATCACTCCTTGAGTTTTTACAAGCTGCCTGGTTGTAAAATTTGTAATTGCGCTTGAAGGATTTTTACAGCTGAAGACGGTCTATAAAGGGTTTTTGGCACTATTTGAATCTAGCTGAGACTGGCTCTGACTGGCCCTGTTTTTCACTCTCTGCCTCGTTGCATAACCTACAATTTAACTTTCAGTGCGTCGCTCAAAACAGTTCACCACATCTTGCCTCAGCAGGTACTCCAAAAATGTCCCGGCTCGTGGCTGCCAGGGGAAAACTAGTAAACTGTTACGGATACATAATGTGTTTATTTCAAGTAATTACTGATGTATGTAGTATTATTTTATTGTTGTTTTCTTTTTACCTTGTTCCTTGGTTGAATCCTGACTGACTTCATCTGCAGAGGACAAAAAAAAAGGAAAATGTTAACTTATAGCAGAGACAGAGCTGAATTCATGAGTAGACTTTTTGTTTGTCTTTTGTTTTTATTTCGTCTTACCCAAACTCTTCACAGCCTCTGTCCCGACCTCGTGGTGCTCTAAGAAGAAAAGACATTTGATCACACTGTTGGGTACTTTTATGTCTTTAGCTTTGGTTTTTTTTTAACTCTACATGTTCTATAAAGTTCCCATCTGGCAAAAATCTGTTTGTTTTCTAACTTGATATAATTTCTTTATGGTGTTTTTTACATGCCAGACAACACATTATGAGTGATGTGCAGCACTGCTGAGCGTTTCCAAGTGGAAATTCAGACTTTCAGGGTTTTTTTATGTAACAAATCTAAGAACCCTGTTAACATTTTTCTTGTTCAAATCAGATTTCAATTCGAGCATGAATTTCCTCAGTATCGCAGCTCAGCATTGTGCATTTGAGCGGAGGTGTAGGTGAGCTGGTGTGCTCGAGCTGCAGCGAATGGGGAAGGGGTCGGTGAAGGGAGACGCAGCACATTCGTAGATCCGCACATTCTGAAGGAAGCAGGGGTGAGGCGTTACTTCCGAGGCAGGGAGGGACTATTTTATGGAGGAAATAAACTCCTGAATACATTATGTAACACATGTGATAGACGGGGATGAGTCGTTCTGGGTTAAGTCAATGACCGGAGAGGTAGTTTAAAAGTAACTGAAAGCCTATAAAGTGACTTGAGATCATGGAAATGTTCAGTTCACAATCACAGGCTACTTTTTTTTAGTTCCAAGCTCATCATGTTTGTGTGTTTCATGTTGGTTGTGGTGGACAGACAACACTCACCCCGCCTCTGTCTCCCTGTTAACAAGAATAAAGACAGACATTAGCTATGACTGCAGGACAGAGGCTGAAATTTAAATAAATAAATAAAAAGTAGCAGCTCACCCTCAGTTTCCTCAGAGGACTCAGACTCTGATTCTGTGTTAAAAAAACAAAGGAGGGGGGTGAGTGCTGCAGCTATTTAAGCATAAGTAGTACAGTACCTTACATTTCTCTGCACTGTGAGATGCTCCTCCTGCAGATCTCGTCTAAACTGTCCTTTATTGCCATCTACAGGCTCCTGTCTGAACGGTAAAGCCTCCTCTTACCCTCACGAGCTGCAGCGTCAGAGTTGCCACCTCCCTCTGCTGGAGGAGGGATTGTACAGTTATGTAACGTTTGAGTCTCAGGTACAGAACGATTACATCTTATCCGCAAAAAGTCAGATGTTTGTTGTTGGTTTTTTTACACACCTGCCTTGTCGCCCTCGGCTTTAACGTGCTCCTCCACTGTTGGGAACATTTGAACAGGTGATTGATGACAGTTTGTGTTCAGGTATTGATCGTGTGATGGATTAGGACTCACCGGAGCCATCTTGAGCAGCCTCTGGAGGAGAGAGGAGGGAAAGATTGTATGAGTGAGCGAGCCTTCACAGAGGAGCTATTATTAGTTTAGGTGATTTTTAAAGTTTCTCCTCACCGAGGTAGCGAGAATCCTCATTCTGTTCCTCCGTAGCTGCGAAAAGGTGCGAATGGATTATTGATAAACCTTAAATAGGCAACAGGACAGTTTGATCTTCAAGACATCAGCAGTGGTGGAAAGTACATTTACTCAAGAACTGTACTCGAGTACAATTTTGAGACGCTTATTTATTTTTTTTTCCATTTTGTGCTACTTCACGCTTTAACTTCACTAAATTTCAGAGGGAAATATTACACGTTCTGCTCCACTACATTCCCGCTTTAGTGACATTTAAGGTGAAGTTTTACAGAACAGATAATAAATAAAGAGTTCATTCTCGTAGATTAATATCTGGACTTGCTTGAAGACGTTCCACCTCTCATCCAAGAGGCTTCATCACTTCTGACTGACTAGTTCCAGATACTTATATCAAATAAAAGTACAGCAAAATATATAAGTATATACACTAACAGCTCCAACATTTTTCCTGAAATGTCTCACATGGTTTCATAAGAATAAATATACGGACGATGGAATATCTCAGCATAATTCAGACATTAGAAAAAAGTGAAAACAGTGAAAACCTTCATTTGTATCTGGCGTCTCTGTATATAAAACTGTATGTAAATGAGTTCAAACCAGCTTCACCTGCAGCATGTAACACTATTAATTCACTAATAATATTCTAATGAAGACATATATAACATTATATCAGACAGAGAGATCAAACCAGAACCTTTAATTCTATACTTTAACAAAATTTCAATACTTTACACGCAGGGCTTTTACTTAATGGCGTCTTTTGGACATTTTTGCTGTACTGGTACCTCTTCCACCGCTGCTTATTTGAGCTCCTTGAACTCGGGTCGCTGGGTTAAACACGTACCGTTCACCTGAGCGGCGCTGGTCCTCTGAACGAACTCGAACTCCATCTGATCTGAGGAGACAAAAAACAAGAGCCAAGAAGATGGACACTGGTGAAGAAACAGCACACGGAGATATGGGGATGAATAAAGTCACAACACATGATGGAATCTGTTTTAAAAAGTGAGACAGTTATGGCTTTCACATAACTCTAAATGTTATGCAATAAACAACATGATTTTAATTCAATACATAAAAAAAACTGTTCACAAGAGTCCACTCTGGAAAAAGCAAAGTGAGAGAGTTATCCGACTGTACCTATCTTTATCAGCTCAGGTAATCCATCTGCAAGAGAAAATAGAAGTTTCCAGGTTTGCAACTTTAACAGGATCATCATCATTATAAGAGTTGGTTCATATATTTTAAAACAAAGATTCCTCACCGTGCTGATCAACCTTTTCCTCTTTCTCTGCTGATTCCAGAGACGCTGAGAGCACTGCAAGTCGACACAAACAAGTCAGAACTGACTAAATCTAACACATCAGTTGCTGAAAGTCACACATGTACACGACAAAAGACAAAACTCTCTGATTGAATTGTTCCCTCTTACCGGTGTGAAACGCCGCCACAGCGAGGAAAACAAACAGTGGCACTAGAAACCTCATCTTGGCTGCTTTTCTTTTTCCTTTTTTGGGAAAGATTTTGGTTGTCCCTTCAAACTGTGTGGTGTGTTGTTGTTGTTGTCACTTGTTGCGGCCTCTTATATCTTCGGCAGCATCACATGTTGGTTCATGGACAGGCGGCTCTGGTACCATTGTCCCTCCCTACCTGAGAGGACAGCTGGGTGGCACATCAGCGCACAGACACGTCCTTATTCGACCCGTCAATGCCGCCCATTGTTGTGCTCGTCAGTCACATGGGCCTTTATTTGGGATGTTTGACAGGAAAGAAAAAGAAAAAAAAAAAAGGACTCCATGTTTCTGAGCTGAAAACAATGTTGGTTTCCTTTTTTGGGGGTGATTTCACCGAGCACACTTGGCTTATGAATGATGGGTCACAATGTGGCTCTGGAAGACAATTCCTCGATTAATAACACGAGTCAGCGCCAT